GTCTTGAGAGTCTGTGAATACAAGAAAATAACTACTTTGTGTTTGTCGTATTTTTTTTTTAAATTCATTAAGAATTCTAAAACGAGTTCCGCAAAATATAATGATGTTGAAGTGATACCCATACTATAATCACAGGACTCACAGGACTTAAAAAAAATTATGCAGATCGTCAATCCAACTAAATCAAAAAGAATGATAACTGATTGTATCTTTTATAACAATAATATAGAGGACAATAAAAGAGTATAAAAATTGTGATCCAAGAAAATGCTACACATTCTGTATACGAGATAGTGACTACACAGCATATAATGCAGGTTGACAAGAGTCAACAGATCGAAAAAACAGGGGAGAATGGTCAGGGTTACACACCATGTGCTTGATAGCATGGGTCAGGGATCGAAAGAGATATCAGACTTCAAAATTTCATATGAATAAAGTGTCGTAACCGAAAGCCACTGACCACAATCAATATTTAAAGAAATGACAAATACAGTAGCTTCTGTGCAACACTTATTCCTCTGTCAACAAACTAAGCATTACAAACGTCTCTTTTTTCTCGACCCAACTTTTCCCACCACACATTGTAGTCTCTTGATTCTGCTATTTTCCTATTTAACAGCCAGCCTGCTTCAAGCAGGCAGGAAACCACCGGCTGATGCTGCTTTACCAATTTCTGGGAGCATATCATTGTTTTAGTTCGAATCATTCAGTTCAAATCACTTAGCTCAAATCACGCAGCTTAAATTACTCACAATGTATTCTGCGGACTTAAAGTGAATTTATTTCTGGCACCATTGGCCTGCCGGCATTAGTCCAATCACATGACCATTCGTACCTATGCTTTTCGTACTATATTAAAAGTGAGTATTATATGCACACTGCACAAACTACTGTAATATGTTTTTTATATAAAAATGGCTTCATACACTAACAAAAGAGTTTTCTTGTAAAATTTTAGTATAGCAATTTAAAGATTATCATTCGTGTTCTCTTGCATCAATAAAATAGTATAACCTAAATCACCATATAACCCTGCATTATTACATACACGTGACTTCTATATTAGCTGTTCATTAATCCAGATCTTTAAGAAGCAGATTGAGATTAACAAATAGTGTTAAATAACAAAATTAATAAGGAAACTATGTAGTATGTAGTATCAGCACGTTCACATGTGATAAATAAAATTTTCTAGCTCTGAACATTTAACAGAGTTTGTTTTACTGGTTATAAATAGTTTTCAAAATACAACGAACAATAAAGGCGACTATCTATGTTGAATTCACAGACTCAATTTTTAGTATAGTATAAATCCGGTGTTATGCCTGGAATTTACTTAGTATTATATTACTATTTTTATTACTTTCTTATTTGGGAATAGTCTGGGAAATTATTATCGTGGTGTATTGGAGCCTACAACTTCCGGAGGGAGTTAAGAGCTCCCAGAGGGAGTTAGAAGCTTCCGGAGAAAGTTAAAAGCTCTCAGTGGGAGTTTAAAGCTCCAGGCTAAATTTATGAATATATAAGGATGTGGTTTCAGTCTATGAAGGGAATAACAGTTGTTAAACGATTCTTGTTAATATTTAGTAATATTGTATAATCCAATGTATTGCCGTAATTAAGTGTGTTAGTTTATTGATTTAACCTTAATCACTATTTGTTTTCAATCGAAGCTAAATTGGTCCAAGGCTCTATAAGCTCTCCCACCGATCGTAACACCGGATATAAGTTATTAAAATATATCTGTATTGAAGTCGATAATAAACGTGTAAAAGTTATATAAATTTTTATGTACGTTTTTGAATATTAATTCATAGATCGATTACAAATTGAAATGTCACAATAATTACATATTTAAAATCGGATGATCACCAGAAGATGTGATAATTACTTGACCATAATTTTTTAACAAATCGAATGCATGATAAAACTATAATAATTCACAGCTGACCAACCAAAATAGGTTTAAGCACATGTATTCAATTCGAGAGATGGCTAAAGCTGTAGGGGGCACTATTTTGATGCATTTATGGTTAATATGTATGTAATTGGATAAGGCTTTGACCCCAATTTGGGTGTAGATCAATAGAATAAAAAAACATCGGATTGATTTCTTTGAACAAACGAAAGTCTCACTCAAATTTGATGATTATCAATTAATGAGCACGGCAAAAAATCCGAAGACAAAAGAACCAGAAAGCGAAAAAACAAAGAAACTCGCAATGTGAATCTATAATAGGATTTCATATTTCATAATATTTGATATTATTAATAAAGATACATAGTTAATTCACTCGTTAGTTTTTCTACGTTGATGCTCTGCTAAGCTTAGCTCAGCTCAGAGAAAAGCATAAGCAAGCGACTATATACAACGCAATAAAAGTTGTGATATGGAAGTCTGCCTTTTTTATGCAATTTTTCGCTTAAATAAGATAGTAACATTAGCTAATCACTGTAAATAGAGCAAAAGGAAACAAATTTAGACAAATCACGTTTCACAAACTTAAGTACTGTGTTAATTAAATGTTAAAATAAATTACATAGATTATCTGCATGAGTCATTACGAACTACCCCAGCAGCACCGACAGATTTTCACTGATCTGCAATCTAGAACCTTCGAATCCTTGGCTATTATAAAAATTTTTAATTTTTTTTTAAACTTTTAGCGAAGGTTTCTCAATAACTACTTGATCAAATTTAGTGAAACCTTTTTTATTTTAATTCTATATTTTTGTAGAATCAAAATAAAAAAAGATTTATTAAATTTGGTTTAACGGTCACTGAGAAACAATCAAGAAAAGTGTAAAAAAAACTTAAATATCTTGGTAAAAATAAACTAAAATCATGAAAAATTACCTCTCTTAAATCTTAAATGAAGATTATCAACAAGCACAAGTACAAATTTAATGAATTTTTTTTATTTTGATTCTATGGATCTATAGAATTAAAATAAAAAAATTTTATCGAATTTAAATTGGTAATTATTGAAAAATCTTTGTTTAAAGGTTAAACCAAAATTTGGCCGCAGCACTGTTTTAATAGGTACTGAAACTTTGAACGAATATTACTCGATACTTACCTAACAAAACTCGATCAAAATTTTTTTATTTTAATTCTATAAATTTATAGAATTAAAATAAAAAAATTGATTGAATTTAGTTAGGTAAGTGTTGAGTAAGCTTCGCTCAAAGTTTCAATACCTTTTAGAAAAAAGCTGTGACCAAATTTTGGGTTGAATATTTCTCAGTAATGACCTGTATAAATTTGATAAAATTTTTTTTATTCAATTCTGTAATCCATATAATTAAAATAAAAAAAATTTATCAAATTTGTACAGGTGGTTGTTGAGAAAACTTCGTTTAAAGGTTCTAAAAAGAAAACCTTTAAAAAATAAAGTTATAATAATTTTTTATTTAAACTTTATAAGCAAAGGTTTCTCAACAACCACCTATACAAATTTGATAAAATTTTTTTTATTTTAATTCTATAAATTTACAGAATTGAAATAAAAAAAAATTTATCAAATTTGTACAGGTCATTACTGAGAAATATTTGCTAAAATTCAAACCAAAATTTGGCCGCAGCTTTTTTCCAAAAGGTACTAAAACTTTGAGCGAAGCTTACTCGACACTTACCTAACTAAATTCAATCAATTTTTTTATTTTAATTCCATAGATTTATAGAATTAAAATAAAAAAATTTCAATCGAATTTGGTTAGGTAAGTGTCGAGTAATATTCATTCAAAGTTTCAGTACCTATTAAAACAATGCTGCGGCCAAATTTTGGTTTGAACTTTAAACAAAGATTTTTCAACAATTACCAATTTAAATTCGATAAAAAATTTTTTATTTTAATTCTATAGATCCATAGAATTAAAATAAAAAATTTTCATCAAATTTGTACTTGTGCTTGCTAAAAAATCTTCATTTAAAGATTTAAATGAGGTAATTTTTCACGATTTTAGCTTATTTTTCAGATATTTGAGTTTTATTTATACTTTTATCAATAGTTTCTCAATAACCGTTAAACCAAATTCAATAAATCTTTTTTTATTTTGATTCTACAAAAATATAGAATTAAAATAAAAAAATTTTCACTAAATTTGATCAAGTAGTTATTAAGAAACCTTCGCTAGAAGTTTTAAAAAAAATTAAAAATTTTTATAATAGCCAATCACAATTAAGGATTCGAAGGTTCTAGATTGTAGATCAGTGAAAATCTGTTGGTGCTGCCGGGGTAGTTGGGTATTATGACGCAGGTGGGTATTTGACACACTCGTGTTTTTTGATGATACATTGATCAGAATCGAGTAATTTTGGTATCATTCGATTCGGACGAATCAAATAATATAATTTTTTTGGTTCTAACTGCTAAATCACATGATATAAGTAAAAGTCAGCATTACTTATGATAATATTAAGTTTCTTTTGATTTTTATAATATATTTCTTTATTTGGGCAATGTCCAGAGGAAGGATGCAATAATACAATACAAAACACATAGTGAATATAGTGCGTCATAATACCCCCAAATGTAAAAACATAGCATTTTATGATTAGATTTTGAAGGCTTATATTTCAATAATTTTTTTTTTTAAAGGTGATTTTTTTTTTATTGGTAGATAGTCAATTACCTGAGTAATCTATATCTACAAATTTTTAGAATAAATAATTTTTTTCGGAAAAGTTTATATGAACAACGCTTAGGTGCGTCATAATACCCCTCCCTTATGTTATTTTGAAATATACTGAGAATATATAGATTACGAGAAAGGTTGAGATCAAGATTTCGAAAAGAGGTCTATATAGTATATGATAACTGACCAATCTAAATTAAGTATACCTATCATGTGACATAATGGCATGCCAAATTTTTTGCCGTACCATTTCCTTACATAACAGTCAAATGAGAATCATCCAGGGCGACTATAAAAAGCGACTTGTGGTGCAGCCAAACCAAAACTACACCCAACTTTATATACTAATGCTATTGAAGTCACAGCTATTCACAAGAAAAAATATTTACGATCTAACTTTACCACGAACAGGCCTAATTTCTTTTTTTTCGGTTCAAGAATTGAAAACTTAATTTCCGGCCAAATTAGAATTTTGAAGATCATCGACCTAAATTAGATTAATGTAAATGTTATGATCACGTTACTGCACTTATGGTCGCCCTGGATGATTCGTCAGAGGACAGGGGTATTTCATATACTGTACTAATTAATCAATCAAAATTATATAAGGTACGTACGTATAGTGATAATGAAGATCAGGGTTAACATAACCTGTCCCGGATTTTCTATACGCTGCCGAATGTAGGTCTGCATCACCATACTTTATTCGAATTTCGCCTCCGATTCATTGAGTTGCTTGCTTGAGAACGCCCTTAATTGTACAATTTTGTACGTTATAATGAATGATTTAAAAATGGTTGTTATATGTTCGTTAATATAATATTATCTGCATCGATCATGTATGTACGAATGACCACAAAATAGCTTAAAGATCACAAAAAATCTTGCAGCGCTCATCCCTACACAATAGGGTATGGTTATACTGTTTCATGTTGATTTATTCGGCTTTCTCACGCCTAATTCTAAACATATTCATTTTGTAATGCCGTTATTTGCTCGATATATACTTAGGAATTGTTTGACTGCATCTTATAGATGCGAAAAATCCGGTCCAGTCCGACTTGACTTCAGAAGTCGAATATTAATTTGGACTCGATCTAAGGTCAAAATCGATTTGTAATATGATATTTGATCACAATTTTACATATTTTTACATTGTACTCAAGTAAATGCGACACAAGATTAGATTTATTGGTTTCAAATATTATTATGTGTTATTGCTCCATTTCCGGCGGCAAATGGAAAAAATAAATAATAAATAAACAAAGATCTTATTGACACCTGAAAATCGATTCTATAAACTGATATTTGAATCACGATACGTGAATATGAATTCAATACAGCGTGTACATCGAGCTACTCATTCATGTGATATTTATCGTGCTTTGCAAATTGTGTGACTCCTATGACTACTGAGTATCTTAAATATTTTCGTTATAGGAATTGTGTGACTGCCAAAAATCATTTCCTTAGCATCTAACTCTCAGCCAACATTGACCATAAATCAGACTAACCATAAATTTAAATCAAGCCAACCTTATCGTTATAAAAATACAATTAAATAATTTAAAAGATTCACAGATCGTATCATTTAATATCGTAATGATAAGCTATATCAGATATGGTCTGATTATCATAAACGATTAGCAAACTTTTCATGTAATCGAGAAACTGATACAAAAAAATAATGCAAATTTCATTACACAATCCTAAGCTTAAAATGCTTTAGAGATAATTCCAAAATTATAACGCTTTGCAAAAAGATGTGATCATGATTTTTGTGATGATGATCGAGGAAAATTTCCGAGATTCTAAATTGTCTATTAACTCATATTTTTCGATCAGTTATATTTATATTTATTTGAAGTCGGTGATATTCTTAAAATCTACAGAATCTCCGATTCTCACACGATAGTATGATTTGCAGAGGTCACATCTTTTTGCAAAGCGCTTTGAAATCTGGGTTGCTCAAGCACCAACCTAGATACGATTTCCTAGAGATCGGTAAAGAGATCGATATAGTCACAAATATATATTAGGACATAATTTTAGCTATTTTCATAAGATTTTTAGATAAAATAATAATAATAATAATAAGAAAGGTAATTTTATTGATATTTTTCGAGCTATGATTTTGCTGATAATTGTAATGGTACTAGCTTTTAAATAGTTTATTAAAGGATATCGAAAATTTCGCAAATACAAAAAAAAGCATAATACCATAATATGTCAGTGTGCCGATAAAGAATAAAAAGTATGAAAGCGCATGAACAATAACTCTATTTACTTTAATAATCAAAGTTTTATATGCTAGTGCAAAGATGGTTCGGTGCAAAGATTTATTGACTAGAATGGCCAACTCCTTAACTTTTTTTTTTTTTTATGTTTAAAATTTTTTCTTTGACATCATGAATTAAATATTCCGTGATTTATTTATCTTAATGACAAGCACGTTTGATCGATTAAAATACTTTCCGCTAATTTAAAATTAAAACTAATAAATGAAGCCTTCTTATAAATATTGCTTTATAAATTATACGTATAGTTGCGCTATATTGTTAAATAAAAGGTTTGAAAACCAAAACATTATACTACTGGACAAAAAAAAGAAAAAATATAATATCTGTTCATTTGATGGTATACAGAATCGCACTGTTTGTAGTTACCTAAATTTATCGGAATAAATATACCATTGAACCAGACTGGGTATAACCTCGACATATCCTGTTGAAACATGATACAAATTTATGGAATTATCCATTTTCATTTGGCAGCATTTGTTTGGTGTGCTGAAATTTTAATTCATCCAAGAAATAATATCTTTAATTTTTATAATCAATATGAGAAACGAATATGAAGATTGGCTAAATTTTAATAAAATTATTAACTTCATTATGAACATCAATTGTAATTATGTAAAAAATGAATGTTAGCCAATTTTTAAAAAAATGTACATTTGGGGAACACGCGTATCTATGTGTTGGTTTCCATAAAAGTTTATAGGTAATCTGACTTAAGGATTTTTACATAACTGATCACCAACTTTTTCACTTTTATGCATCTGAAGATTTTTTCCAGCAATATTTTCCCATGTAAGAGCTAGAGGGGAAAAAAAAAAAAATTAATAAAAATAAATGAGATAAACAAGATTTTACAACTAATTACATACGCCAAAGCTGTAATCTCTTCATATTATAATTACATCCTTCCTTTTGAAGGTCAAGTTGCTCGAGATTTTCCCTTTCAATTTCAAATCCTGCTTTTTTAATTTCGGTATCAGGCTTCACTTTAACGTTAATGGACGCAATCTTAAGGTCGAAAAGGACACCGATTCTGAAATTAAGTATCTAATAAAAAATAAATCGGAAGTAAATATAAATACGATATTACATATAGAAAAAAAAAAAAAGGGAGACAAAAAATTACCATCAAGAACAGGGCTTGGAAGAAAAAGAAAGAATAATGCAACAAAAGAATACAGAAATATACGGGAGATAAGACCTAAAAACGGAAGAAACAGTGAATAAAAATCTTAATAACTTTAATAATGGAAAAAAATGACAAAAAATGAAATAAAACTAACCACTGCGAGGATACATTGCATTAAAAACGCAAGAAAGTGAAAAGCAATAGGATGCTTGCTTAATTTAGCATCCAGCGTCTCCAGCATCTTCGACATCTAAAAAAAAAAAAGATTAAAAGAATTAAGATAAGGGGCTATGCAAAGTGGATTTCTACATATCAGTCTATATCAGAATTTGCTGCGACTTAGGATTTTGTCTATCGTAACATAATTAATATCGTTGAACATTTAACTGCACCTTTTTTACGTTTTCCTCTTTTTTGACTGGTTCATCAATATCTTCATCATCATGGTCATGGGCCGATTCATCATTCTCCGTAATATCTTCCTTCGATTTATCCTCCTTCGATTTATCTTCCTTCGATTTATCTTCCGTCGATTTATCTTCTGGCTTCAATTTATCCTCCATCATCTTCTCCACTACATTTTTATCTTCCTTTTCCTGGCATTTGGGCGGCCTACCCTTTTTGCCCAATTTATCCTGAAATTTAAGCACAACCGTGGCGTCTTCAACTTCGACTAAAGGGTCTACTTGAATATTGAGGGAGAAAAACTTTACATCGAAGGTGAAGGTGGATCCGGTCTAGAAAATTAAACAAATAAGAAATAAATAAATATAATATAATAATTATAAGACTAAATGTAATATAATAGTGACAATACTAACAGCAAATTTATATAGCCTTTGAAAACAAGAGGAAAACGTCTCCAAAGAATCGATACCATAAAATGCAGGATTTAAGGCCTAAAAAAGATTTATTTAATAACGAAAAATCAAATAACCCTAAAAAAAAAAAAAAAAAAAAAAAATCAGATTTTAAGATTATTATTTTAAAAAAAAAAAAAACCTCACAAAAAACCATAACAAAAAAAAAAAAATTTTGGGAAAAAAAAATTTTTATTGAATAAAAAAAAAATAAAAAACCCCAAAAAAAAAAAAAAAAAAAAAAATCAGATTTTCAGATTATTATTTTAAAAATGAGCATTTTTTCGTAACAAAAATCCATATAAAACCTTTTTAAATTCCTGAATATTTCTAAATTTCCGATTTCCTGGTTATAATTTTATACGGAAAAAAAAAATTTTAACCAAGAAATCGGAAATTTATAGAATTTAAAAAGGTTTTATATAGGTTCTTGTTACGAAAAGTAAAAATAATAATCCGAACATCTGAATATGATTTTTATCTTTTTTTTTTATAGGATAGAATAATTAAAGCAATAAAACTAACCGCCGTGAGAAGAGAAATTAAGTTAGAGGTGGCTAAAGGATCTTTGTCATTTTGGTCATTTTTGCTATTTTTGTTGTTGTATTTAGGGCGTGATGACATCTAAAAAAAAAAAAAAAAAGAAAAGGAATTAGATAAAGAATAACGAAAATTAAAACAGAAGTTAATTAATTAACTAACCGCTAGAATGAATGCTTAATTTTGAGAACTTTTTTTTTTCCTAAAAAAATATTCTATAGATAAGTAATATTTTCATTCTATTATATGCAAAAAAAGTCATCAAGTCGATGATTCAGATTATCCTTATGAGGATTTATTATTTTGTATAAACAAGACAAACTTTTTCGTTTCACATATTATGCATATTCATATGGTGACAAACATACTGTATTACTTGAAGATTGAGAAAATCCTTACCAAGTTATCATTAGGGATAGCCATACGACGTATAGCAGCAATATTTACCTGGGTTCGACCTGCTATTGCTTAATATATTAGAAAATTTACAAATGTCATTGTCCTGGTCGTTTTTACCGTGTATATAAAGATTCTATTTCCTAAAAGTTGATAGGGCCGAAAAGGCTCGACCACGAGTACTTTAGTCATGACACAAAAAATTATCACTACAAACAATGATCCACTATCTATGTTGTTTCACAACTATCCATACCTAAAGTTTTGCATTACTTAATTGCTTAAGACTGTATAGCGATAGCTACCATTAGCAAATTTGTGTATTATTCCGATTTATTTTTTCAATTTTCAATCGCTATTGGATGATAACGTGTTACAGTCATGAAAATGCCCAGGATAAGTGTAACAAACATATGCAAGCCTTTAACAAAAAAGAAAATTATTATGAAGGATATAAAAGTCAAAGTGATCTTAAAACTTTCCTAAAAAGTTTTTTCTTGAGCTACATACTTATTGTTGATTTCTTTATATGTCATCGCCACTTCGATTAAGCTCAGATTTCAGTTGTTTACACATGTCAATGTATTTATACTTTCTGGTTGTGCAAGAGATCATCTTAATGTCTTCGAAATTCAAACCTTGTATCGTAACATTAGTGTAAATTAAAATTGGACTTTTTTGGAAATGTTAGGGTTTATAAGTTTCCTGATATGGATATTACGATTTCATTTATTAATATCAGGAGCGGAGTGCAGTGTTAAAATTCACATTTGATTGGGTGTTACTTTTTGCATGCATATATAATTAACCATAGCTGCCGCCCCGACATAACGGCCGAGGATCTTCAAAATTTTGGCCCACATTACATAATTGTTTACTAATTTCCGGTCGGAATTAACTTTCTAATTTTTTCATTACAAAAATATAAATTTTTTAAATATAAGCCCGCATTAAGATAAAATTGGCCCAGGAACAACTTTCACTTAGTGGGCGGCTATGATTTCATTAGTATAATTCTGAGTAATTCCGGCTAGAGTTGTAATAACTTACCTGACAATGTAACTTACATTGTAAGTTACATCGTAAGTTACAAAATATATCATAGTAAAGCAGGCCGGCTTTGTATTAACGCTGACCAGAATAAATTTAGCCTGCATTAAGGTTATTAAAGGATGAATTTTTATTTTTATTATTATACATAACCTATCTTACATGTAACTTACATTTTAAAAATAACTTACAGCAAGTTATGCAACCCTACACCTGGGTTACCCCAGTCGGAATTGTTATCATATCCATAGTTTGCTTGAAGCTATTATCATAATTTCTGAGACATCTGATAAAAATTGGTCGAATGATTTTTTTTGCCGATTCAATTAAGTCTATGATTTCGACGTAATAGATTCAAATAAATTGATATATCTGATATAAATATAACTTGAATACAGAAATATGATGCTTTTAAAACATCTCTGCTGGGTCAGTCCGAAAATTGCTAAGTATTTATCACAACGTATTATTTTTAGGACATTACAATAATCACCTGGGCTTGTTTTTTTAATTAATCTGGGTGACTTGTTGGGACCCGGGTGGACATTGTCCACCCAACAGGTGACCCGGGTGATGATTTTTTAGATGGGTCAGCTTATTAGCCTAAGTTCTTTGACCCGTAATTACCTTGAGATTCAGTGAACAAACTGTTATCTGTAGTCATCGTATAAATTTGCCATACGAGTAAAATCTGATAGTAAAGGTCAACAAATACACGGTGTTCTGAGATACTCCGTGACACTGGTGTCCAGAATTATGCTGCTAAAGATGCCAAATTATGCTTGCTAATTGTAAAAACAGTTTTTTTTTTTTTAGATAATGTCACGGCTGAAATTTGAAGTATCAGAAATATAAATCTTGCTAAAATTTACCTTTTAAATTATCAATTTTAACCCCAAACCCGACTCTAAAAAAAAGCAAATAAAAACTAAAAATTTTTTAAATTTCATATCAAAATAGGTTCACATTTCAGCAATTTTAGCATTAGCCGTGACAATTAATAAATTTTACAAATATTTATAATTGTATTTAATATTATTAATAGTTTTTTTTTTTTGGAGGGCACTATTAGGAACAAACCACAACATTTGATCTTTTTTTTCTTTTTTTTTTTTTTTAACTATTTATCTTTCAAATACTACTATCACGACAAGTAACAGCTTGTACGAATGAGTGATTACAAAAATGTGATATGCCCGTTATTAATAAAGCTTGGATTTATTACGAATGCCGGTACTGTATGTTCTATTTAAAATTAAATATTGTACTACAGTAGGGACAGCAAAAAAACATCTTAAAGCCCAAATCTGATTGGCTAATTTTTGTATAACAAAATTCTGATTTGTTAAAAATCTATATAAACAAATTTTTTTATATATGTATTAAACACCAAATTTTTGATCACATATAAACTTTAAGCTCTAATAACTTTTTAAAATTATAATAAAAATAAAAATCTATTTAACAGAATTGTAGCTTAGACTAAAAGCAACAAATTTGTAAAACAGATTTTTTTAAAGGTTATTTGTTTGTAAGTTGTAAACATTTTTATATTTTATATATAAAAATTGGATGTTTTTTGCTGTTCTATACTGTACAATGATGTTATGCAATTTCCAATTTGAAAAACAGTTCCAAAATGAAGAGATCATACTTATTTTTACATAATATCAGTTAACTAAAATAATAATATACTTACTATCTACCTTTTTCAGATATTTTCAGATATATTGCAGATATAGAGGATTTTGGCAATTTCAAAGTAAAAAGGTCTTGCTTGCATTATACTTTTTTATTTAATATCATATAACTGGATTAATATGATCTTTAATCTATTTACTGTTTATATTTTTCTTTATATACTATAAATTTTGAAATTTAGATGGTTTCAAAGACATGTAATACTTTCCCAGAACAGGGTAAGCTTTACTTTTATACTAGGTTCTTATAAATTTTTTTTTCTAAATTTATATTAGATCATATAAAGTTAATTTTTTGGTTCTTATAACATGAAACAAAAAAAATGACTCACTCACCCAAGCTTTTATTTAAAAATTTTATATATAAAATTTTTTAAAAAATTTTTTTGAAATCTCACCTTTCTATTAAAATATATAAAAAATTTTTTTCAAAAAAATTTCAAAATATGACTTGGTCAGGTTATAAGAATCAAACAATTAAGTTTATATAGCCTTATAATTAAATTATATTAATTATTACACAAAAGTTAGAAATATTTGCTAAGAGACTTCACTATGAAATTTGATACTAAATTAAAATTCAAAGCTTTAATAATAATATAGAAATTTTCAACAAATAATAACTCTTTCTAACGATCATTTGTACCAAAATTCCAAACACATTTTTAGTTAAAAACAAAGTAATGCTTGTAAAAACGGAGGGCATACTAGCAGCTATAAGTCGGCAGTTGTTATTTAGAGGTAGTTCTCATATGCTACTTGCTAACTTCCTCAGAGTTTATCACTCACCACTTGCACGGCACTTGTCGTTTAGAAGTAGTTCTTATACGCTACTTGCCGACAAGTCCAAAGTTTATCACTTACTGTACAAAGAAGATATAGGTGCTCCACCTTTTCCCTAGAAGAAGGTTTAGATGTTGTCGAGTCTTTGCATGGATGTAACTACTGTCCTTGGGTGCAAGTGGTCTTTTTCTAGGTGTTTTTCGCTCGGCCGGTTTTTTTCCAAAATTTTCGACAAAAAGTAGGCGATTTGGTTTACCCTCTCCAAAAGATCGGCATTGTTTACCTCCCAAATTCGGAAGTACCCAGGAATGCAACCACATGTCTTGTTTATCGGTGGATATGTGATGCGACGTAGTCTACAGATACGGAACCTCCACGTGACTGAAATCGGGTCTATAGTGGCGTCCGGAAGTGGTTGGTAGTCAGATAATAATTTGTTAGATTTTGTAGTTGAGATATACAAATATTGCAGTTGTTATAAAATTTTTTCTTAAACCTGACATGGGTTATAATAGTGTATTTTT